ATTTATTTATTCAAAACTATTCAAGATTTTATTTATTAGTCGGACTAGACGAATACTAGGTCGACTTGAGTTTTACCTTTTAGCCAATCTATCTCACTATGTGTCATGTCGCTTTTGGACCACCGGAAGTTAAAAATTTAATAATTGCCCTATTTCATTATGACGTCACAGTATGTTTACATCGGAGAACGATGCTCAAAAAACAGTGTAAATTTGGAGCCATTTATATTGTCTCCTAAAGTAGACCTTCAATGAATCGCGTTTTGATATATATCATGTATAAATGATTGTTCATGAACTTTTTATTTGATATGCAGTCACTTTGATCCCTTCTGGCGACCATAATCCTTAGCGTTAAAACAATAGAATGTTTCGATGTGACGTCATAATAAACTAGGTCAATTAACTATTGGGTTGTCTGTGCTATTATATCACCGGAAGCTCAAATGTATAGATGTACGAATATCGTTAGTAAATGTAAAATGCTACTTGCGCTTTTATGTGATAAAAAAAAACATTCGTTTACAAATGTGGTATCTGTGATCTCATCGGAATGCATCTGTCTAGGCATCAATAGTACGCGCATGTGCAGATCGCATGGAGCTTCGAGTTGTATGCTTAGGAATCTGAATAAATTACCTTTCTAGTGTTAGTCAGTCTTGTGTGATTAGAACAAGAAGAAACTTTGTTTATCAATAACAGAAAGGCGAATTTAATGATTTTATAGGCATCTTTTTCCTTGTAAAGTATTCATTTTCTTTTCCTGAGAGTTCAACGTATTAGATATCATGATATCACTTAGCCACATTTACATTTTGTCTATCAAGTTTGATTTTATCAGTCAAAGCAAGGACTCTTTTAAAACGTTCTTATCGCATTRATTAYATGACCTTTTAGGYCAAGTTTATTTAAAGTCTCAATAAATTTTCCATATTTTGAACTAGACGCTCTTAATATTAGACCGTGATCGAGTTCGGCTATTTTTGAAAAAAAAATTAAGAAATATTTTTATCCATGTAGTATCCTGTCTTTCTCAATTTTCAAAAGCAGCTAGTCCGACTTCACGCTCCAAGAGCGTCTAGTTTAAGTCAAAATTTTTAATGTTTGGGAAAAATAGAGCGGTCAGCGGCATTTTACTGTAGAAGAAGCAAGATTGCAGAAGAAGAGACTGATTGCATTGGATTCGTGCTTACTATTCATTTATATCGTTTTT